GCGTTGTGTTTACGTTTGCCGGCGACCTTGGGCATTTTCGAGTCGCTGTACGGTCGCAGAAGGGCAGCAAGGACGCCACCCGGTCTGACGGGGGCATTACGACTTGAATGTAATGTTGATTAATTTGTTTTTTAATGTTTAAACACTGATTTTGTTAGAAGTACCAAAACAATAAATATAGGTTTAATTTTATAATAATAATAGTATATTTATTTTAATGAACAAGCTCAAAGCGAAGTCAAAGTAAATAGATTTGAGTCTGTGTGTCAACACATCAATGTCTAGAGAGTTACAGATCATTCTATTCTGTTGGAGTTGAGTAGGAGAAAGGTCTTGGAACAAAACGCGTTGTTCTAAGCTTGGGCTTTAAGACCCTTGTAGAAGTGTATAATTGTAATGTCCCCGTCAGGCGCGGGTGGCGTCCTTACTACGCTGATGCGAGTGTACGGCGGCCAGACAATGCACAAGGTCGCCGGCAAACGAGAATACAACGCGAGAAAATTTCCCCCAAAAATGTAGGTAAGGGCTCGGGAACTCTATGATGCTGTTAAGGCGACACTGTTGACAACATATGTCAGATGTGGCATATTCATCCGATCCGTTGAACAATGTACATGGTGTTTATCCATACGTTAATATCTAAATCATATGTTGTTGGTTTATTTTACGTAGCATATACCTTTAGGACTTACAAAGTATTAAAGATAACTCATAATTATGCCTAAACTATCTCATGCGGCAAATCCATAAACGGCTTTAATCAATTTTCAAGAAAATAGAGGAGAGAAAATATTTTTAACCAATAGAAATAATTCTCGTGAACCCATGCATAATTCTCCTGTCTATATAGCTAACGTTTTGCCCTACAGGTGTCACTTCTTAATCCCAGAAATTATGGAGTGGCCATAAAAAGGCTTGAGCAGTAATCACCGATGTCTATAATTCCAGGACCTACTGCCGGCAGGTTAGGGGTAACAAGTCAGGCCAAACTAATTCCCTGTGAATTAATCAGCCAGTATGAGATTCGTATAAGCAAAATCAATCAGTTTAGTTTAAAGATGCGCTGAGTTGTTCATCGTTAGAATGTTTTTATTGATCGGTTCGATATAATGTTTCCGTCTTGTTAAAACTGCCTTAAGATTGTTAATGCTGCTCTAATTGTGAAATGAAATGAGGTTTAACGTCCTACTATTCTGCTCCGAACTGGGCTAATGAAGACGGGCATACGCCATACAGTGTGCTATGAGGGAAATTTTGCTCAGACAGCGGCACTACGGCCTACTTTTATATCGAATTCCAACTGTCAAGGGATCTTTTACGTGCACGCCAATGTGTACACGGGTCCTCGGTTTTTCGTCCCACCCGAACGACTAGACAGCTGTCCTTGTCAGGCCCTCCGTCCTGCATTACCGACAAGGGGGGACCACGGCGGAAAAACTGGATGAACTTTCTCGGCCATTGCAGGGATCGAACACCCGACCTCCAGACTAGCACTCTAAATGTGTTTTACGTTTGTTACAAATATCGTTTAATTTCATACATGGTGTTTCATGGTGTAATTCTAATTGTGCCAAATGTTGTGTAATTATTCGATAAATGTTGTTTCATGGTGTAATTCTAATTGTAACAACATGTTGCATAATATTAATTCATTAATTCGCTTGTGGGCACGTCACTAGATCGATGGTCTTAATAAAAGACCATCGGTCAACCATCCCTCATTACGATGTGGAAGAGACAGTAAGTCAATTAGTTACGATACTAAACAGAACATATGTAACGATATATATTATGTATTAGTCTATTGTCAACTTTATCAATTTTCTTATATAACAGACCGAACAATCCTCTGATCTTACTCGTGTTCAATGTTAATTACCAGTTCCTCTAATATAGCGATGAGTTTACATCATAGTGATGGCGACCATCAATGATATTAACATACTTTGTTACAGAATGAAATGAAATGAACTGGGGTTCAACGTCCTACTTGTCTGCACCGACCGGGCTAATGAAGTTGGGGATACTCCATGCAGTGAGCTATGAGGGAAATTGTACGACCTACTCTCCAACTAGCAAGGATTCTTTTAGGTGCGTGGGACCTCGGTACAACGTAACACGGTGAAACCGTGCCGCAATGTCCAGAGTAATTTTCTCTTCTCGGCCAACTCCTCCATGCTAGCGAGCCAGCGTCTTACTCACTGAGCTAGCGCTGCTCCCACGTGGTTACGGTAACAACTCAGGCGCGCTTAAACGAAAGATGGCCGCTGCGATTATTTCAAGACAAAAAAACAAAGTACGATAGAACAACAATGTGTGTGAGAGAGAAATGAGGTTTAATGTCCACTCCACACAAACTAGGTCATTTCGGGACTAACACATTGTTCAATTTTATTTCAATGATTCGCTTGCGCGGAGGGGTCTTTAGCAGTGGGGGGGAAACCGAAGGATCCGGAGAATACCCACAAGGTTGAACAACAATGTGAACTACAATTATGAAAAATGGTATTAGGTGTTTTAGAATGTGTAAACACATACTGTATCGCGCACTACCCTCTGTACTATTTATACCCACGTTATTTGAGCGATAGATTTGACTTTCAGAATTTAGATTTCAGTAAATGAAGGTACTAGGTAGGCTGTAACGGCACAACCAGATGCCACCGGCAGATACAAACAAGCAACTGCAATTGGTTAGATATTTGTCTACCTCGATGCTCAAAATATTTTTACTGGAGATTGTAATTCCAGAAGTCTTCAACAGTGCTACATTTCTGTTTATTCTGTTGTGTTGAGCTATGCTCCTATACAACGACATGTTCTAAATACCTTTATAAAATATTGTCTTTCTAGAAATACCAGAATCTATGACCACAAAACAATAATAAATCATGATACTTTTGTAGTGATGCGGTTGCTGGAAATTAGATTCAGGTCTTAACTAAAAGGATTCCATGACACGTGCAATTCGAAGAAATTGTCGATGTCCGGGAATAGTTATCACCCACACGAAAATTGGTCTAGATCAGGAAGTTATCCGAGGATATATTGACCAATCAGATGTTAGTGCACAATGTTTACGATAACTTCTGAGCACGTGCATAGCCGGTTTACGTGGTCATTACAGGAATGACTTGTGCAAGCAGTGTCCTTCCTTCCTTGGCTGGGGTTAAGGCTAGGGTTATAATCGTCTCGATAGATCAATTTTCCAAATGCAAACAAACTTCCCAATGATCCTAGTTGAGAACATGTGCCATTACTGAAACTATTTTTGATTCATGTCGTGTTTACGGTAAATACAACATTTTTTAATTGCAAACTGAGAAAAAACAGCCAAACTGAGCAAAAAACAGCCAAACTGTGTAAAAACTATGTTACAAACCTAACTGGATAGTCGAAACATATTTAGAGTTTTATATATTTTTGTCGTGCTTCGGGGGTTATTTTTCCAGTCCTAATTACTTTACCGTAATTACCGTCGACAGGTTACGAGCCCTGTTCTCCCAGAATTAGAGCACTCTTATATCATATTAACGATGCCGATGGAAGAAAAAACCGGCTATAGCAACAACAAAATTAATGTTCTTTTCTTGAAACAAATTCTTTCACCGTCACAAACTCAGGCTTTCTTAATATAAACCGACGCTATTTAGCTATGAATGATCGGTATTCTAACTTGTAAAACACGTTCAATTGTTTAAACAGTATGTCTTGCAGAACAATTACAAGGATCTTGTCGACAAACGTGTTTTTTACACTTCTAAAAGAAACCCTTCGGTTTTGTTATACTCCCCGGTTATTTTTTTCTTTAATGACAATATTCCTAGATAGATATATAACACTCGTCTTAGTGGTTTTAGCGAAATGATCAATGGAGTATTCTGTTATTTCCATTCTAATAACATTCAAACCATAATATCGACTTCAAAAGACGAAAAACAGATAACGCAAAATGTCATTTTCTCGATAAAAAATGATATGAAAATACGACAAAGCCTTTTTTATCACCTCTTCAATAATAACTTTGCTATCCATTTTCCTTAGAAATATTGGAATAACTAAATGACTTTATCATATTAATGGTGATAATTTTATTTTCTCAGATGCGGCTCTGACGCAATATATTTAAAGGAGCTAAATCGCTAACATTTAGGACCTAGAAATTGAGAAAAATGGGTCGCAACGCATATAATACTGTAATATGAATGTATATAAACTGATTTACATTCAATGGTTTCCGTTTTTACTCCTATTTCAAATCAGTTATGTTCGGCGAAATAAGCCAGCAGTCTCAAGCGAGTGCAAATTTCTAGCGCCTGGTTATTCCAGTCTACATACGCCGTTTGATTTGGTGCAATGTGTCTAGCCTCGTCCCTCGAGTCTCTTGATACAACTAGGGCTGAAGCGCATTATGGTACACGATTCGTGTACCATGGTAAAATGTTTATTTTGTCTTAAAAATTGGATATCAAAAGCCCATCTTTTTCCGGTAAGATCACAACATGAATGTTGATTTAATTTGACAAATAAATCGTGTTTTCAATGTTGAAGATTTTGGATGAAATTGAGTTAGAGACTTAGCTACTTTAAGCATGGGAACAAAACTTAAAATAAATTGTTAGCAAAATGAACATTTGAAATGTTTCTGTATACACCAGATCTGTTTGACTGATCGAATAAAAAAGAAATGATAGAAGAAATCGACACTTTCAAACAGTGCACTTTTTGCTCCAATCAATTTTCGGGAATAGCGTTTTGTCAATAATGCCGATTTTTCTGAACCGTGAAAGTGCGTCACGTCTTCCGAAAACGACCACGACTTCACCACGTTCTCGCTTTCGTTCTCGGAACGCATCTGAACCTCTCTAATATGTGTAACGAAACGTTGTTATTAAATAACAAATAAGTAGTTTTATCCATACCCTGTGTGTTTTCTTGTGAATACAGCTTGAAAACAATATATATTAAAAACCAATCCCTACTTAAAGTAATGGTCTTACCTGGTTGAGTTTGTTTATATACGTCGTGCACCTGAAACAAAACATAAATCATTAGATAAGTTATAGTATATTGAAGTCATAATCCATGAGTGACATTTAGTGATTGAGCGCATTAAAAAAACACAACACAATTTATATGGAATACAATCACTGGTTTATACACATGTAGCACAACGTTTCGAAAAGTATTCTCTTGTCGTTATCAAGTACTTGTCGAAACGTCGTGCTATGTGTGTATAAACCAGTGATTGTATTCCATATAAATTGTGTTGTGGTTTTTTTATATTGAAGTCATCGCGTAAGACACAATAGTCGGTTAGGTATCAGAACTCTCGAAAAAAATGTACCGGCGTTGGGTAAGAAGAAATTTGTCAGGCTAGTCAGAGGCGGCCTGGCAATGAAGGTGCTGGCATACTGCCCAAAACTCACGGACTGACACGTGAGGTACTGCCCATTCGTGCGGTATAAAGAGACTAGCCCGTATACTGGAGTGCAGATATAAGGAACTTTGACAGAGAACCGCTGTCCTGGAATAATTCCCCTGCCTAGCATTGTACTCGTGACTAAATAAAAATGTGACCGTGTGTTTGTCTGAAATTGACCGATGTTTTCTGCTGACCGTGTGTTTGCCTGAAATTGACCGATGTTTTCTGCTGACATGTTAAACTCTATGCTATGTAATTTCTTACCTTCTACCAAATATCAATATAACGTCGAATCTGATTAAAACACAAATCCTAATTGCGTTTCGCTTTTTATAGTTCAAATTTTCTTATAACTTGTCTGCACGTGGGGGACCATCGAGGGTATAAAATAACGAAACGAAATATAAATTAATCAGATTGGTGTACGTCATAATTGAGAAATTCTATATAACTATAATGACATAGCCCAGGGATTCCTTTTCTCAGTATACGATAGACTTATTTTAGAATTGAACACACACAACATTTGATTATCAGTAAAAAAAAGCGACGTAGATTATCAGAAATAGTTATTGTGATTGTTTTATTCATAAGAATGTCTACACTCGGCGTTACTTAACACATTACACGATTCCATTGAGAATTAAAAAGATTAATAAAGGAGCGGTCCCGGGTATATTGCATTGCGTAAAGCGTGTTAAAACCGCGTAGGTGAATTTGAGAAAGTTTTATTCCCGTGCCGTGCAATTATCTGCAACTCTCTGATAATGAAAGAAATTATAAATGTGACAGGTGCTGTAGTGCCTGGATAAACATGTTTATAAACTTGATGAAGTATGACTGTCGCGTGTATCAGGTCACTTATTACATGTACACAATAAATAAAATTTATTAAAACCAGGGCCATAAGCACTTCAAAGACTTCGGTGCACCCATATATATGTAAATCTTGCACGTTAGATCTGTCATTGAATCAGGTGGGCGTGGTGTCGATTCCCCACTTGTACGTGACAAGGAGTATGGTCGCCTGTCCAACCTCGTGAGTTTTCTCCGGATTCTCCGGTTTCCCCCTTCCTCCTTCTGCCAAAGATCCCTAAGCGCAAGCGAACTGTTGATATAGTATTTAATCATATGTTAGTCCCGAAATGGCCTCGTTTAGTTCGAGTGTAGGTTACCCCCTCCCCCCTCTCTCTCTCTCTCTCTCTCTCTCAAAATACCGGTTATAATGGCAACAGTTGCAGTTGTCAATAACAGAACGCTTTTTATATAGTGTGAATGTAATTATTTATAACAGTATATGTTTTACCGTGTGTCATTAGACGTCTCTCTCTCTCTCTCTCTCTCTCTCTCTTGAAATACCGGTTAGAATGGCAACAGTTTTTATATAGTTTGAATGTAATTATTTATAACAGTATATGTTTTACTGTGTGTCATTAGGCTCACTTGACCAGTGAAACCATGCTATTCATGTCTTACAGTGAACATAAATCAGTAATGGATTGATAGCTACAATAGCCGACTTCAGGCTTTACAAGAAAAAATCTCTTACAATTCCGAAGACCTTCAATTGAAGGTGATTCAAGCGAATGATGCCATCAATGTTCCTCTGTTGACCTGTAATTGTTGGCTTCATGTCACGGTTTTTCTTATGTCAAGACTTATAAAAGCAATGAAAGACTTATTTCAACAAAATCAGGAAACTTGTGTAGACAGTATGAGGAATTACTTGGCACAACACGTTATAAATAGTTCAGTATATATCATGCAAAGGATATTGAATGAGATTATATATAAAATATGGTTCAATACCAAATCTATTAGGGTCGAGAAGAACTTTAGCATTCTAGTGACTTGTCTTTGGTAAGGGACGCAAAAATGAAGAAACTTAGGATTCTAGTGGTTAGCCTTTCGGAAGGGACCCAAAAATAAAAATTACTCGCGAACACGTTGGCGTGCCTGAAAACAACAACATGAAATGGGATTTTATTTTCTGCAACACTCGGGCTAATGAAGTAGAGTACACGCTATGCCGTCTGCTATGTGTGTGTGTGTTGTGGCGGGGGGGGGGGGATTTTGCCCGAACAGCGGCGTATCTGCTTACTCTTCGTCGAATTCCAACTGCATCGGTTTCTTTTTTGTGCACGTCAAAGGATATTCGGTGTTTCGTGTCATCCAAGCGAGGAGACGCCGTTCCTTCATCCCATCACCAGTGGGGGTTCACTGTGGCTAAGTTGCCAAAACGCTGGCTCGCTAGCCTGGAGATTGGGTGTTCGATCCCTGCATTGGCCGAGAAAGTTCACCCAGATTTTCTGGTGTGGTTCCCCCTTGTCAGTGATGCAGGACGGAGGGCCTGACAAGGACAGCTGTCTAGTCTTTCGGATGATACGAAAAACCGAGGTCCCGTTTACACATTGGTTGGAAGGTAAAAGACCCCTTGACAGATGGAATTCGATATAAGAGTAGGACGTAGTGCCGCTGTCCGGGCAAAATTTCCCTCATAGCACACTGTATGGCGTATGCCCGTCTTGATTAGCCCAGTTCGGAGCAAAACAGTAGGATGTTAAACCCCATTACATTTCACTTCATTTCCTACACCAGTGACATCGGGTAAACCAGACTATAGGGATGCTGAGCAATTCTCTTGATCAACACCGAGATACATCCCAGGACACCCCGGTTAGCGGGCTGGCGCCTTCCTCTCAGGGTCACCCTTCCACCAACATTCAAGTACCGTTGATTGTTGTAATTTAAGGGCATTAGAACACCAGATACCACTCCCCCTTGTTCCAATCGTGTACCACAGTGACCCTTTTAAATAGCTGGCTAATTATTTTGTCTTCCGCTTCCTTGACCCGATTACTATAAACGTCACAGTGTTGAAAAAAAGGAACTGGCAGTTTTAGCACATTACAAAACCAATGCCGCGATGAAAGATTTTGATAGCATACAATATTGCGTGCTCTGTCTCTGCCAATTCCACATCGAGTTGATTAAAATAAATGAGGTGAAAATAATGTAGATATATGATATAGGTGTATATAGGTAAAACAATGAAGTATATATATATATAAATAAATATGTAATGATCAATACACGTATTATATTTCACTTAAATTTTTTAACGATAAGAATCCTGTTACTGAATTTGTCAATACTTTCAAAGTTTATGTCTTGTCTAAGAACAGAACAGAACACTTCGTCTATTTTTATACTTACATGGTAATTTTCATTTCAATAGATACGTGTGCAATACGAGGGGGGGGGGGATTATGCCCGGGCAGTTACCTTGGCTTTTCCCAAACATGTACAAAGTCTTTTGCGACATCCCGGTGGTACCTTAACGTCAATCGACTATCGACACATGTCTTGTGCTACCATGACCTCACACAATGCACATTGACCTACGAAACTGTCCACTGTAGCTGGCGCAAGGGGTTACGTAATATAGTGACGCACTCGTGTGAGCCAGGCTTAAGAGCCAATCGATTAAAAATGAATCAGCGAAAAGCCGTAATCCAGAAAATAAATAATGTACTAAATGTAAATATCTGAATATAAGTATGGTTCAAATTTGTTATGGGAATTTAGATTTAAACCAATATTTTCTAATTAAATATGGAAGTCACTGTGGCTCGATATTGGTGTTGGTCTAAAAGTTACCCCCGAATATTCAGCATGCTTTCCAATTATCAGTCACGTGTATTACGGATGGAATGACAAGGAATGTCGTCTAGTCGTTTCGATTGAACGTAAGTCAGAGTTCCTATGTAGACGTTGATGTAAAGGTAAGTGAACCTTTCCACTGGTAGTTTGAATTTGACGAAGACTAAGCGGAAACGTCTCCCATAGCATGTGCAGCATGGTTGGTTCAAAAAAGTAGAACGTATTACAATTAAAAGGAATACAGCTTTAAACTAAATCAGCGTCTATCACTGAATACTGCAAGATTTAATAATGTATGAGGTTTTATTACACTTTCAATGGCAGTTTGAATTCACAAAGACTATATGCGGAAACGTCTCCCATAGCAGGCGCAGCATTGTTTGTTTATAAAAGTAGAATGTATGTATTACAATTAAAAGGAATACAGCTTTAAACTAAACTAAATTTGCGTCTACCATTGGATTTTGCCAGATTTAATACTGTATGAGGTTTTATTAAACTGTTTATTTAATTAACCTGATCGTTTACATGTATAATTATTTGACACTATTGGTTAGTATTCACAGACCTGGAATATTCCTCGGGCAATTAAATGCCAACTCGTGTCAGGATGGAGCCGGATCGAGTCAGTGACGGACTAGGAAGGGCGCAATAATATATTTGCCTGTAATTAAAATAGTGCTTTCTAGAAATGAAATGAAATGGAGTTTAACTTCCTACTTTTCTCCACCGACTGGGCTAACAAAGAGTGTTGTTTTTAAAAGTATATCCTGATCTTTCTAGCTTATGCGTAGCACTCTCACCAGTTCGTCAAAAACGACGTAAAATCAATACAAAAGAGGAGCTCACAAACTATTTGAGAACATTAACGTTTTTAGTGACCCCCGAGCCTCTCATACTTACAAGCTCATTCTAAGCCCCTCACCCTCATCTCCATGGTTCGAGTCCTCAGTCCAACCTCGTGGGTTTTCTCCGGGTCCTCCGGTTTCCTCCCACTGCTAAAGACCCCTACGCGCAAGCGAATTATTGAAATAAAATTAAACCATATGTTAGTCCCGAAATGACCTAGTTTGTGTCGAGTGGACGTTAAACCCCATTTCTCTCTCTCTCTCTCGAGTCCTCAGATTTTTGAGGGACTCCCGAGCCTATCATACTTACAAGCTCATTCTACCTCCCCCCCCTCCCCTCCCTGGTTCGAGTCCTCAGATTTTTTAGGGACCCCCGAGCCTATCATACTTACAAGCTCATTCTACCCCCCCTCCCCTCCCTGGTTCGAATCCTCAGATTTTGTAGGACCCCCGAGCCTATCATACTTACATGCCCATTCTAAGCCCCTTCCCCTACCCTCCCTGGTTCGAGTCCTCAGATTTTATAGGGACACCCGAGCCTATCATACTTACACGCTCATTCTAAGCCACACCCTCCCCCTCCCTCCCTGGTTCGAGTCCTTAGGGTTTTTTATCACAAATATTATTTGACTTAGTCTTGAAATTAGTTTGTACTTGTTAGGAATGTGACTTTAATTAATGTTGAACTAAGATTCCATCATTTCCTGACTGTCATAATATTGCTATTGATTACAGATCCCAACTCACTTCATATACTTCTAGAAGTGTTTTCTGTGTGTCATACAAAATGTGAAAATAAGCAAACGAAACGAAATGGGGTTTAGTGTCCTACTTTTCGCACCGACTGGGCTAATGAAGACGGACGTACACCCCGCAGTTTCCTATGAGGGAAATTTGAGCCGGTCTGCTTCTACATCGAATTTCAACTGCCAAAGGTTCTTTTTATACGTCCACGCCTATTTGTACACAGGATCTAGATTTTTCATCCTCCCCGAACGACTATACGTTGCCACCTGTCCTGTATCACGGACAAGGGAAAAACACGCCGGGAAATTCCTGAAGAACGTTCTTGGCCAACACCGGGATCGAACATGGGACCTCCAGGTAAGCGAGCCAACGTCTCACTCACTGAGCCACCGTGGTTCCCTTGATCTTTCATAAGATTCTATAAAACGTCCTTTGAATTATGACAATTATGTTTCGAATTGTGCTAAATATCTACTAAGTTGTTGATATATTTTCTTATATATTGACCTCCCACTATTGACGTACAGAAAGCACACCCTGACAACCAACCGTGAAATAAAATATATCAAAACTCAGTTTTGTGAATCACATAATAGCAGACTAAAATATCCGTCCAATCTCTCTCAAAGGGATTACTGAAAACGGATGAACCATTTCCGTCAACCTGTACAAAAGCCATCAATGATTGTAATGTTTTATGTTAACGATTCTAAATCGAAAGTCAATATATTAAACTACTATTTTGCATTTGTCTGAACAATACCAGATATTAATGTGTTACTCGAATATCTGACAGTATGCCTCAAGCATTCCTGTACCATAAATGTAGTAAACTAAAATAACGAACCCAAAGTCTAGGGGCTGGACCGTTGTATAATTATTAAAACGTGTAAAACATCTGTGTGTACCCCCCCCCCCCCCCTCTTCCACAACGGTCGCTGGGTGTAGAATGGTTTCACGTGTGCGCGTTAGATCAAAAGGTCTATCGACGAGTCAAGTGACGTGGTTTCCATTCCTGCTTGGACGTGACAAGGATTAGTGTCGTCCGTCTTACCTCGTGCCCCCCTCCCCCTACAGCTAAAGACCCCTACGCGCATGCGAACTGTTGAAATAAAATTGAACCATATGTTAGTCCCGATATGAACTAGTTTGTTTCGAGTTGACGTTAAACCCTATTTCACTCTCCTTCTCTTTTTCCCTTTGTCTACATTCCGAGTAATTGGACACAGGCAAATTGTAACAGGAACTAAACCTCTAACTCAACATTCGAAATAAAAAAAAACACGAATTAGAATGCGAATATTGGTTAATTTTAATCATGATGTCGTTTATCTTAACGTGAAGATGTGGGATCCTTATATCCAGTATTTAAGACAATATTAAAATCAGTACACGAGGTCGTATAGTCTATTGTTCCGAGCGCCATTTGTAACGCCGGCTCACATGACTTCTGTTCATGTTGGACTGTTCACGTATTTCATAATAAATTATAAATTATGATAAGATTTTTAAAAATTGAATGTAAATTCCTACATATACACTTTTATGATATTAATATATGCTTCTAGACCCATTTTCGTCTTATTTTGCGGGGTTGGATGGTTAGCACGTGCGCGTTGTATCATAAGGTCTGTCATTGAGTCAACTGTCGTGGTTTTGATTTCCCAGGTGTACGTGGCAAGGAGTAGGGTCGCCTGTCCAACCTCGTGGGTTTTCTCCAGATCCTCCGGGTTCCTCCCACTGTTAAAGACCCCTACGTGCAAGAGTATTAATGAAATAAAATTGAACCATATGTTAGTCCCGAAATGACCTAGTTTGTGTCGAGTGGACGTTACCCCCCCCCCCCCCCCACGTGGATGGCAGAAATAGTATTATTAAACGATGTTTGGTAAACGTAAGCACCATACAATAGTATGATTGACCTTTTTACGAGTATAGACGGAATGGTGATTTGTAATCCACGATGCGACAATATGTCGATTTGTATATAAACCGATGATGTGAGTAGTGACAGATACTCTACATACATCTGTAATAGAATGTCAAAGATTTTACCTATCTATTACAAATAATTGAGAATGATTTACCAAATAGACATTTGTATGTAACGACTTTAATTCCCTTTGGTTTTCTATCACAAACATAACGATTTTAATTCCAGTCGGTTTTCCATCACAAACATCGATTACATCTACAGTAATTATTCTATTACAGCATGTAGTTGATGTCATGTTTACTATGTCATGTCTACGATTTAAACAGACAGTTTCTTATTCATCCGTGGGGCGCTAGGGGGATGGATTGGTAGTGGGGGTGCCATATGCTAGTCCGGCAGTGCCTTTGTTTTTGTTTTTCTGAGTGGGCGTTGAACTCACCCCCCCCCCCTCTCTCTCTCTCTCCAATACATCGTCTTTGATCTAGGAAAGAGTTTCGTGGCATTGTTCATTTTCTCCTTGTAAGTGTTACAGAAATGGGGGGGGGGGGAGGGGGCTGACATGGAAAGACGTCAAGTCGTTCGAATGAGATAAACACCCAAGGCTCCACGTATACCACCCCTATATCAAACTGTATGACTGTCTTCAAAAGAACAGTCGGTGCAGAAAAGGAGGACGTTGATCCCCATTTCATTTTATTTACATCATGTTTTTCATGAAATGGCGTTTAATGCCCTACTGCTCCCACTGGACTAATGAAGACGGGCATACGCCATACAGTGTGCTATAAGGGAAAATTTTGACCCACGTATATATTAACTCTTAAATCGAATTCCAGCTACCAAAGGATCTTTTACGTGCACGTCAGTGTGTACACGGTATCTCAGTTTTTGTACCTCAGTTTTGCCAGGCCCTCGGTGCTGAACCATTAACTGGGTGGAACCACGCCGGAAAATTCCGATGAACCTTCTCGGCCAACACAGGGATCGAACACGGGACCTCCTGGTTAGCGAGCCAACGTCTTACTCACAGAGCCACCGTGGCTCGGTATTGACAAGCGAGCTATGAGTGTCGATAGTAAGTAAATCTAACTACTGACGTGTTAATCAATAATATAATAAGATAATAGGATTATAGTGTAATTATACTTGAACTGTCGTAAGATATCATTACCTACATACGTAACTATCGCTCGAAAACTAAATATACTCCTCCGCAGGCAGAGTGTCTCTTATGTGCAAAATGTCGACCATACAGTATACAAAGAATACCCGAATACCAGCGCTCTGGCCTACTTCAATTTCGAATTTCAAATGTCAGGGGTTCTCTTACGTGCACGTCAGTGTGTATACGGAACCTAGGTTTTTCGTACAATCCGAACGACTATACCATGTTCCTTGTCAGGCCTCGCTGGAAAATCCTGAGGTACGTTCTTGACCAACACCGCCTGGTTAGTAGGCTAGCGCCTAATTCACTGAGCCACCGTTGCTACTGCTGCTTTCAGAACAGTTAATCTTAAAATGGTTTATTTAAGAAACCTTAGTTAGAGAGTTGGAGGATTTTCATAATATTACAGTTTCCAACTTCAAACCAAAATATGACATCGTTTCCTATAAACGCAACACGTTTTGACATCCTGATAGCTGTAATCAAGGTGGCGGGGGGGGGGGGGGGCGAATGGTTAGCACGTGCGTGCTGTATCATAAGGTCTGTCATTGAGTCAACTGGCGTGATATCGAATCCCCGGTTGTACGTGACAAGGAGTAGGGTCGCCTGTCCAACCTCGTGGGTTTTCTCCTGGTCCTCCGGTTTCCTCCCACTGCTAAAGACCCCTACGCGCAAGCGAATTATAAAAATAAAATTGGACCATGTGTTAGTCCTGAAATGACCTAGTTTGTGTCGAGTGGATGTTAAACTCTCTAGCTGCAACCAAGCATCTTTCATAAAAGAAGTAAATTGTTTACTAACCGGGGGGCAATGAGCAAAATCAATAAATTCGATAAAATTGACAAATAAGTTGATCAAATTGAAAACACAAATCGAACTTGAAATGCTGTCAATGTATAGCCCGGTGTTTTGAACAGGTAAAGCATAACCTGCTTCGTGTACAACACTGACCTGTACTTTGAAATAGAGCAACTTATAAAACTTAAATTAACTGCCTCGTGTACGAAAACATTAAACCATTTAAACCCATCACACTATGTTCAATTAATCATTTAACTAAAAAAACATTAATTTAAAATCAAAAACACAAAATACTTACCTAAATCAGACCAGAAATCAAACACAAATTAACCACCACTGAATGTTCACACGCAACACTATTAATTATACATATACATGGCATGGAATCAAAGAACGTCGTAATAACTACTGTAAGTCCACGAATACAAGTCTACAAATGATACGTGCATAGTGCTAACGGTTCCTTTTATCTATGGCATGGTAGTAAACACCACTGTCAGACGACGTCAGGAGGAATTGTATCGTAAATATGACGCTATGATGCCACTGAACTCTGTATTCCGTCGTTTCAACTTCCTCTGTACACAGAACTCAAATTCTTACGAAACTACTCGAGCACAATAAACACACATTATGATTTCCAACGTTTTTTTTAGGGTTTCACCGCTTGACATTCGATTTCTATTCTGTTAGTGAATTACTCTATGTCAATAGTAACGTTGTTTTGAATGAGTGTCGGCACTGTCCTATATTTTCACGCGTTCCCAACAAAAGAAAGGCCTAAAAAGATCAGTGAAAAAAGCAAAAAATAAAAATAAGCAAGTTTAGTTCTTAGTAATCGGCTTTTGAAAGCACCACTACTGACTATAATGTAGCTATATGTACATACTCGATTGGTAGTGGGATAAAAGTTATTGGATGGCACAGGGCTATGAAAATCAATCGACGGGTATTATATAGTATATTCCGCTGTACTCTCTTCGTCTCATAATTCTAGTCCAACATCGTATACAGCTGTAGGGGTTACGTAAAAGAAGAACTCGATCCATGCCGTGGCATAATAATCGAAATTATAATATCTGATGGCTGTGATTATACGTGGCATTATGTATATAAGAGCTATTATGGTGTTACAGGCTTGTCGCAACGTAAATAATATAGTTTTTTAGATATTAGATATGAATTTATTTATTATCTTATAAAACATCAAAGTCATATTAAGCTGATATTCTTTCGAGGCTTATGAATCCCAAATTGAATAATAATATTAAAATTTACAAATAAATGATGCCTGACAAACACTTGATTTCTATATTGACTTACGAACATAATTACCAACGATTTGTAATAATTTTAGCTACAGTCCTGAAACTTACGAAAACGTTGAGATGGGAGGGGGGGGGGGTAGAGATAGAGATAGATAGAGACGGAGGTGGAGGGGTGGAGGTGGGTCACATCCCACACGAATACTGAAAGTATTTAAAAAAATCACAAAAAAACACACAAAAGAACCATTAAATCAAGCGAATGGATACTATGGGGGCCCAATATTTCCATGACACAAGAATGGCTGCGCATTCACTTTTATGTAACGTGAAGTGATCAATAAATAGGACATGTTTTTTTTAATAATAATAGCTAGAGTTTAATAAGTTGATAATAATAGGACACTCATCAACGATAATTTGTAGTAGATGATTTATCGTATGGGATAACATAGCTGACGAACAGTATGATGAATAATCAACAATATACGCCCTCTACTTAATGAACATGTAGTCCATTTACACTCTTGACCTAATCAACATGTAGTCCATTCACACCCTCAACCTATTCAACATGTAGTCCATTCACACCCTCAACCTATTGAACATATAGTCCATTTACACTCCCGACCTATTCAACATGTAGGTCATTTGCAACAATCGACCTAATCAACATGTAGTCCATTCACACTCTTGACCTAATCAATATCTAATCAACATGTAGGTCAATTACACCCTCGACTTTTTGGAACATACATGTGGTTCAATTTGATTTCAATAATTCGCAGTTGGCGAAAAATATACTGTATTTGGCAAACAAAATGGCGTTTATTTTACAGTCATTTAAGCGACAGCATCGGAAAATAGATATTAGTGCAGTCTGGTGGTCCGGTCTTCCAATGTTTAGAGTAACACAAACCCCAATGCAGAATTATTCTGAATGATAAAGATAGTATTTTAGGCGTGCCTGGTAAGATGGTCGTGACAAGTGCCCCCCCCCCACCCCCAACTACGCCACTGTAGATGTTTTCATGTAACCGAGTGTAAAATGGTAGATATTCTTTGCATTTGATATGGTTAAAGGTTGATTAATGACGTCAAATTATTCTGACATGCGCAAAAACACACCCTACATGTTGAAAACTGCCAATTAAAAATGTTTGTTTAAAGGTGGTATAGCGCTATTCTCTGTAACCTTTAAATAGACGAAAATGGGTCTAAAAGGACATATTATTGTAATATGAATGTATGTAAAGTGATTGACATTCACATTTGTTATTGTAATTTATAATCAATTATGTTCGGTGAAATTCGCAAACAGTCCAAATTGATCGGCAATCGTTTTTGCCTGCTCACTTGATTCTACACGGATTGTTTTTATTATTATTTTTCGTTTGTGATTCAGCGCGTTTTAATTACTTCCGCATTGTCTTCTGGGATACGTTTTTATTTTTGGGTCATTACAAATGGCGCAATGGCGCTCGATACCATGTGTCCACAAAGTGGATCAATTTATATCAATATGAATTTATTCAGATTTGACTAATCCGAAATTCATTTAGGACCAGTAAATAAACAGATCGACCCTAGTTTAGAAATCAAGTGGCATATTGTGTTCTATGATTTAAATGAGAGCTAGGGTTAGCGTTAGGGTTCATACACATTTTAGGCCAAGACTAGTAATTATCTTCCCACTGGTTTCAGTGTTACACCCTTCACATTGCGTGGCCTATAACATTTTTCTAACATTTCGATGAGTTTTGGGGTATCATAAGGCCTGTCATTGAGTCAACTGATGTGGTTTCGATTCCCCGGTTGTACGTGACAAGGAGAAGGGTCACCTGTCCAACCTCGTGGGTTTTCTACTGGTATTCCGGTTTCCTCCCACTGCTAAAAGACCCCTACGCGCAAGCGAATTATTGAAATAAAATTAAACCATATGTTAGGTCCCGAAATGACCTAGTTTGTGTCGAGTGGACGTTAAACCCCATCTCTCTCTCTCCCTATCCGGGACACATTTCCCCCACAGCACACTGTGTGGCGTATGTCTGTCTTCATTATTATACCACTTGGTGCAGAAAATATAACGTTAATCACCGTGTTATTATATTATGATTGGCGCTGATTTTCATTAAAAGCTGTTATCACATGAAATGCACATCATAATGATACGTGTAAATACTTTTGTATGGAAGCGTATAAGGGTCAATAGCGCCACAGATACTTAGATAATATGTCAACATATTGTAATCGTTGCGATCAATTTACCACCGAAGACACAATCATTTCATTTTCAATGTGCTTTGCCAACATATTCCATTCTCTCTCTCTCTCTCTCTCTTTCCCCACTTTAGTATCCTTTCCCTTGTTCTGTTTCAAATGTAATGTTTATTAAATAACACAACAATATGGTTTAGTCTTAGTCCAAATATTTAATAATGCACCCTTTTTCAAAGTATATAAACAAAATAATAAAACCTTGTTATTTAATAACAATCAAATCCCTCTTCTGGTATTTGAAAATTGTCAAGGAAGGGATTTATTATGCATGTCAGTCCAACATCATAATTAAATTCGTAATATCGCTTAACTCATTCATCAATTGGATAAATTCCATAAAGACGTAGCAGATTATTAAATTATAACGAAGATTAATGGACCTGTGTACATCTAGAGTGTAATCAACTGTTATTAGACTTCGTATGTAGAAGTGAGAATTTTCAGTAATAAATAAACGTTGGTATTAGTATTAGCCTCACAACTACCGGCAATTATTACGGGGTGATTGTCCTGGAAACGTTGGTATATTAGTATTAGCCTCACAACTATTTAATACCGGCAATTGTTACGGGGGTATATTTCCTGGAAAGGAAGGAACCCTAGAATACTCTATAAATGTACAAATGTACAAATAAGTATTTCTAATAAGTTCGAATCCGCCTAGAAAAACAATCGTGTTATTTTCAGCTAGGGTCTTCAAGTTGCGGTTATAAACAGTTGATTGCGGTCACAAACGAAATGTTCACACAAACAGAAGGGGAGAGAACTCGGATGGTGACTATACACCGTATAGCACCATGGCGTAATAAACTGGAACTAGAGGAATTTCAAACTTTTTAGACATGTACTAACAAAAATGAATAAATGAATGAATGAAATGCGATCCAACGCTGGCTCAGTGATAGATTAATGTGTAATAGTAATCTGTAATGGCGATGCTTAATGGTAATTCGTAATGGTGATGTGTAATGGTAATTCGTAATGGTGAAGTGTAATGGTAATTCGTAATGGTGATGTTTAATGGTGGTAGGTAATGGTGATGGGTAATGGTGATGTTTAATGGTGGTGGGTAATGATGATGTTTAATGGTAATGTGCAATGGTGATGTCTAATGGTAATGGAAAGTAACCATTACACATTTAGAAGTTTATATATATATATATATATATATATATATCTGATATCCACCTTAAGGAGACCAGTTGTATATTAATATACGCATTAAGGCTAGATCTACGTGTTTTCTAGTTTTAACTATTTTTTATATATATATATATAACACGTAGATCTAGCAAAGCATGGGCGCTTTCATCTTTAATCTTCAGATGCTTTACATATATATATTGAGTAATGCAACATTTCAAAAGTAATGAGTAATGGAAAAAGCAGTGGACAATGGAAGTAATGGAAGTAATTAAGAATGGAAATGGAAAGGAGCAATGAAATGATAATAAATAATGGAAAGTTAGTAAGCAATGGAAAGGCAAATGGAGACTGGAATGAAAAATAGAAAAGGTAATGGGTAAAGGAAAGGCAGTATTTTATTGGAAAGCAGTTAGTAATGGGAAGGAAATGAGCAATGCAAACGTATTAATTACATACGTCAGAATAATTCAAATCAGGTTAGATAACCCCTAGAGATGACCGTCGATTCATATACAATTGAATAGAGGAGCCCAAGAACGCGCCACAACTTCTTATTTATGTCAATCAAGTAACTTATAAATAGAAGAATTGAATATATATTTGTCTGGGATTTGGTAAGTAAACTTAATTAACGTTAGAGCACGACAAACATCTGCGACGATATAAAACATCGTTATAAACACAATCCTTTATCTTAAACACAATGTCCAACGATCACGTTAATTAATTTAAACTTTTAGGGAGATACACCCACATGATGCAACTGGATGGGGTTAAACATTCCATTTGTAAAGGTTCAGTCAAATAATGGGACGAAAGAGTGTGTGCTTTTAATTGATTCGACCACGAAAGAGAGAGAGAGAGGGTGGGGTGGTGGGGTGGAGGGGTGGAGGGAGACCACTGTTTTATAGAACCACTCCGGCATATCTGAAAAACACTAATTCTTAAACTAGTTAGCAATCAAGATTACATTTGTGTACAGTTATAAGTGACGTTATGGAGATTATTGCAAGTAACAGAGCTTTAGCCGTATAGATTTCTAAATTAGTAAGCATTTTCAATTAGTCTGATAAAAGTCTGATTAATGACAAAATGATTCATCGCTGCTTTAGATTCACATAGCTCACTTTAGTATTACGGTCTAAATTTTCATTTAGCTGGTGTTGTGCCAAAATTCATTTTCTCACTGAATGACAATAGCCTATTTGATAAATTGGTAATATTAAAGAGCTACTCAACATGCTGAATAATTCAATAACGTAGATAACATTATCATAGTTATTTTTAACTTCAAAGGTTAGCGAAAATCATTGTACATATTGCGAAGCTGCGCTCTAACAACCGAAAAAGTATGGAAGCGTGTACGGGTCAATAGCTTGATATATAACGCGCTATTAATAAGGTAATATGTCAACATATTGTGCTTGCTGCGATGATTTAACCCAGTAAATCCAATTTTTGCCGAGTTAATTGAGTCAATGGGCTATGTTTGTAATAATATTATGGCCTTGACTAATTACTGTTACGGATTCATAGACAAGCAAAACATCACGTGAAACAACGGAAATCTGTTATAATGTGATACATGAATTGAACTATAGGTTAATAAACACATTTGTCATATTATGCCATCTTCATGGGAAGGAATGGAATGTGTATGTTGACCAAATTAAGTAATAATCCCTGTTGGTATGGGGCATGTCCATTCCATATTTGGCTAATTCTTGACGTCAGTGTGCATGAGTGACCAAATCATATAAATGATTTCAGAAGTCAAGGCATATAAAACCACCAGAGCCATGGGCGATTTTCAGACAACCATGTGGGTTTTGGGAGAACAAACTATGTAGAAATTCTTTGGGAGAGACCATTCAGATTCAAGAAGCAACATCAGGATTCAGAATGCCCCGTTAAGTCGTAGGAGAGCCATATGATGTGGTGGGATCCGTCAGTAAACTCGTTCTACAAAATGGTAGGGTTGAGAGAGTAGAGAATGACTTTATTATAATATTTGCTTGTAACCTATGTATCCAGTACTTGACATAAAATGTAGAAACAAACTGTAGTATTGTTATTCCTGTCAACATGATCTGAGCAAGCTGAGAGATTCACAGTCTGTAAAGTGGAATCCTAATCAGTAGAGACATACAAATATAACCAGATGCAATACTAGACGATCATAAGGTTTAATATGTATGTCAGTATATTAGACTCAAAATTCTAGCATGCTATCGTCTAATTTCTAATTTCTATTCATGTAATTTCTAACTTCTATTCATGTAGAATATTTGCGGTTTAGCTTATATTTGAAATAGTATTTCAATTTGCAAACCATGTCACGTTCGATGTTGTTTTCAATTTCAACACTCCGCCAAACCATTCAACTTGACAAAGAGCGAGTCGTTGGTATCAACATAATGGTCCCGATCACACGGTGGCGACCCCAAATGACGTCATAATGATGGTTGCTAAGTAGAAGTATCAAAATTCTAAATTTGTTTGACTTTCATGCGTAACATGTAAAGCGACAACAAAGTAGACATTTTTCGTCTTAAATAGAAATAAGATGAAACAGAATTAAAATTTACACTGAGCAAAAAAAGAAGTTGGATTATACATTGTCTTAATTTAGAAATTACATGAATAGAAGTTAAAAATTAGGACGATAGCATGTTAGAATTTTGAGTCTAATATACTGCCATAAATATGTAGCATAGGAGAGAGTATGTGTCACACATTGGAGGTGAGGAGTAGTTGGGTATGGGCTTTACAGCGACTTCTAGAACTGCATTGACTACATGTTTGATTTGGTTGCCGAACTGCATAGTGCTACATGTAGTATGTCGTCATTTAGTTTTAAATGTACATGTTTCCGTTAAGATATTAATATACTCAAGCTTTGTCAGCATATTTCATTTTATCATTATGTCGAGATGTTGGCAAAATATCGCCAGGCGCTATGTCAAAATATATTACATCGAAATGAAATATGTTGGCAAAGCACATTGAAAATGAAATGACTCTGTACATCGTAGCGCGTTAATACTCGCCATAATTGTGTCTTCGGTGGTAAATTGATCGCAACGATTACAATATGTTGACATATTATCTAAGTATCTGTGGCGCTATTGACCCTTATACGCTTCCATACAAAAGTATTTACACGTATCATTATGATGTTCATTTCATGTGATAACAGCTTTTAATGAAAATCAGCGCCAATCATAATATAATAACACGGTGATTAACGTTATATTTTCTGCACCAAGTGGTATAATAATGAAGACAGACATACGCCACACAGTGTGCTGTGGGGGAAATGTGTCCCGGATAGGGAGAGAGAGAGAAATGGGGTTTAACGTCCACTCGACACAAACTAGGCCATCTCGGGACCAACATATGGTTTAATTTTATTTCAATAATTCGCTTGCGCGTAGGAGTCTTTAGCAGTGGGAGGAAACCGGGGGACCCGGAGAAAACCCACGATGTTGGACAGGCGACCCTACTCCTTGTCACGTACAACCGGGGACTCGAAACTACGGGAGTTGACTCAATGACAGAACTTATGATACACAGTGCCGGACTGGGCCCACCTGTCACGGACAGGTGGGCCTAAGCTCATTAAAATAGTGGGCCTAAGCCTATAAAGAAAAAAGAAAAAGAGAAAAAGGAAAAGAGAAAGAAGGGGGGGGGGGAAGAAAGAAGGAAGGAAAGGACATGACACAGGACAGGAGAAAGAAAATATAGGAAAAAATGACTGACAAACAACACAATAAAAAAAGTGTACTACAAGGAAAGAACTTTATGAGTTTGACCTCATTATACCGAGAACCGTGTAATTCATCTTTTGTTTTTGACATTGAAGAGAATTCTTAAATTCATCTAATTGTATCAGGAAATCAAAAATTTGCCTTGTTCTGCTTTGGTCTGAAATGCTTGGAAAATGGGTTTGCGGTTGTCAGCTTTCTATTCATGTAATTTCTAACTTCTATTCGTGTAGAATATTTGCGGTTTAGCTCGCGCGCCCGTGACACGCCTGTCGGCGCGTACTTGTGTGGTCCTTGGTCAATGACCTGGCATGGTGGGCCTTCGGCTCACCAGTCCGGCACTGATGATACAGCGCGCACATGGTAACCATTCGGCCCTCCACCCCCCCCCCCCCTTCCCGGATAGTTGCACATGGCCTACTCTTTATCTAAAATTTTACTTGTCACGTATTCTTTTACGTCCAAGCCAATGTATACGGGCCTCAGTTTCCATACAATCCGAACGACTAGACACTATCCTAGTTCCCCGTACTGCACCACAGAAAAGAGAAAGCTCTCAGAAAAATTCTCGGCCAATAAAGATTACCTCGTAACCATAGCGTTTGCGAAAAATGATTACCTCATGACCATAATGTTTAAGAATAAAGATAACCACGCCATTTCCGATGAAAAGTTACCGCTTAACCACAGTGTTTACAAATAAAAATTACCACTTAACAACATTGTTTCCGAAGAAAGATTACCGCTTAACCACAGAGTCTACTAATAAAGATTACCGCTTAACCACAGTGTTTACGAATAAAGATTTCCACTTAACCACAGTGTTTACGAATAAAGATTGCCGCTTAACTTTAACTCATTACCTCATATAAACATTATTTATGGTATTGCATTATCCAAGCCCTAACCACGGGATAATCTTTATTAGGATTACCATAACCCTAACCTAAGCCTTCCATGGTTACGAATAATATCTTATTTATTAATAATAAAATCAATGTGATGAAATCTACTATACCTGCTGAAACTCTCGAACTGTACTCTGATTATAAAACATAATATCTTTTATTATGGTGGTAACATACTTATTTCTATCTATATATATATAACTTGACTTAACAGTTATGATAAAGATGTAACAGTCTATTGATGTTTATCTGTAGGTATATATATATCCTGTATCTATCTGTTTACCATATCAACATACTTTAACAACTGTAAATATATCTCTATACTGTGGCGGATCACTTCCAGCACTACACAAGTAGTACCAATACTGAATTGAAATGGATAGAGAGAAACGGGGTTTAACGTCCACTGGACACAGATTAGATCATTTCTGGACTAACACACGGTCTTTAGCTGTGTGAGGAAACCTGGTGACCAAGAGGAAAAGAAAACCCAGGAGGTTGGAAATGAAATGAAATGAAATGGGGTTTAACGTCCCACAGTTCTGTTCAGAATGGGCTAATGAAGATGGGCATATACCATATAGAGTGCTATGTTGGAATTTTTCCCGGACAGCGGCGCTGTGGCCTACTCTTATATCGAATCCCAAATGCACGCCAATGTGTACACGGGACCTCGGTTTTTCGTCCCATCCGAACGACCAGACAGCTGTCCTTTTCACCCCCCCCCCCTCTGTCCTGCACCACTGACAAGGGGAAACCCCTGCGGAAAATAAACGATGAACTTTCTCGGCCAACATCGAGAGCGAACCCGCAACCTCCAGGGTAGCGAGCCAGTGTCTTACTCACAGGGTCATCGTGGCTCCCCCACGAGGTTGGACAGGCAACCCTACTCCG